CCTTCTTCTTTGTTTATCATCTTTTATCCTTTCAGACACATTTCTTTTTCCTCCCTTTCTCACTCTTTCTCTCATCTTAAGCCTCTTTTCATTTTCCTCGTCTTCTTATCATTATCATCATCAGCAGCAGCAGTAGCAGCAACAGCAGCAGCAGTAGCAGCAGCAGCAACAGCAGCAGCAGTAGCAGCAGCAGTCGCAGCAGCAGCTTTTTATTACGATTATTTTTTATTTATCTTTTTAATACTTTTTCAACAGAGATTTTAAACAAAATGATGGTTGTTTTTCTATATTTTTTTTCTTATAAATTTATTGAAAGATTTTTTTTCTACTGCGAATGTAAGTCATCCCCATTAATACAATATTTTCTTATTTCCGATAAAAATGAATTTTATTGGATTTTCTTAATATCTATATCAGTATTCTTCATAATTATTCCTAGTGCTTCTACAACTACTGGAATCACCGTTGCGTTTAAATGCCAAATTCTTATAATTACTATTTCCAGTTCTTCATATTTGGTGAGTTTATTATTATTATTGAATAATAATCTTTTCTGGAATATCTGCGTCCAGATAATGTCGATAAGATGGCATTTTATGGTTTTTGAAGTCTTTTATTAAAATGTCTGTTTTATTATCTTGTGCAAGTGCAGTCAGTGTGTCAGGTCAGATGTGGTTTCAGAGTAAACACCATCACATTCTGGTAATACTAGGGCTTTATTATTATTATTATTATTATTATTATTATTATTACAGCACTTAGGCAAGAGGGCGATTTAAGAAAAGACACAGTGTTTGACAATGTTCAACAATATTTCGACAGTATGTCTGTCTCCTTCAAGTTACGTTTAAAAACTGTATACAAGTATAAAAATTTTTAAAAAAGCCCTTGTGCAAACGTCAATTGTCTTGAAAAAATGTAGGTACTCTGTAATCAATGGGAGAAAGTGAATGAAAAATTATTATTTTATTAATATTATTATTATTGTTGTTTTTATATATTTATTTGGTGTTTGATCCAATCATTTACCAAGTTTTTCAATTGAAATGTTAGATAAGTCAACGTTTTTCTTAGAAAAATATTGTGTAAACCCTTGCCTAAGCTTTCCCTTGATCGGCCAATGGTTTCTTCACCTTGAGTCTTGATTCTAGTTCGCGTCGGTGTGCACTAAAATCTGAGAAAGGGACCGCTGCATGTTCACACGGAAACGATAAGTAAAAAAAAAAAAAAATAACCTCCACTTTGGGAAATCATAACACGACCCGTGTTTTCCATATCTTTTCATTCAAGTACTTCAATTATTATCCGGTACTTTTAGGACATGGGCAATCATGGCTCTCCATAACTCTCAATTCTTCGTAGATCTAATCAATAATTTCCCTTTACTATCCAACCCGGTTCTACTATCCAATTTCACAAATTCATTAGATATTTTGCTCGATGTTTCTCCCCGTCCTATTGCATTCAGCAGGCCACGTGAGTATTAAGTTTTCTAACTCTTCTTTCTTCATTATCCGTCCAAGAAATGTCAAGTGTTTCTTTTTAATTCTAAATAGAAGTCTCCTTTATGTTTCTGTCTTTCGTAAAACTTCCTCATTGCTTACATGCTCCGTCTCTAGCATTCTCAGTATTCTTCTGTTGTTTCAAGTCGTCTCTTCATCAGTGAGGAAACTGTCCACCATTCACTGCCACATAGTAAGATCGATATTACATAACAGTTCACCAAACTTTTCTTTGTTTCAAATGAAATTTTGCGGTTTTCTTAATACTGTGTTTAGTTTTTGGAAGGCATCATTTGCAATTCAATAAACCTTCGGATTTCATGATCTCTCTATATTTCTGAGATGAAGTATTATGTACACTATTTACATTATTCGGACTATTTTTTCTCATCTTTGTCATCATATTTATTAAAACGTTTCGGCCATTGTACATTCCGGCCTTCTTCAGGTGGTTGGAATATCGCTTTATTTCGCTCACTGGGGTAGACTGTTCTAGTACTTTCACAGGGGAATTAACAGGAGATAATTGATAACTGACATCCATTAAACATTATAACATTCTACCCCAATGAGCAAAATAAAATCTTCAACCACCTAAAGAAGGCCAGAGCGTACAACGGCTGAAACGTTATAATAAATATGGCAACAAAGATGAGGACAATAGTCCGAATAATGTAAAAAGTGTAGATAATACCTCATCTCAGAAATATAGACAGATACTGAAGGGCCGAACTGTTGTAATACATATGGCGACAAAGATGAGGACAATAGTCCGAATAATGTAAATATTGTACAATATACCTCATCTCAGAAATATAGACAGATACCGAAAGGCCGAAACGTTGTAATAAATATGGCGACAAAGATGAGGACAATAGTCCGAATAATGTAAATAGTGTACATAATACTTCATCTCAGAAATATAGACAGAAACTGAAAGGCCGAGACGTTGTGATAAATATGGCAACAAAGATGAGGACAATAGTCCGAATAATGTAAATAGTGTACATAATGCCTCATCTCAGAAATATAGAAAGATACTGAAACGCCGAAACGTTGTAATAAATATGTTGACAAAGATGAGGACAATAGTCCGAATAATGTAAATAGTGTACATAATACCTCATCTCACAAATATAGACAGATATTGAAAGGCCGAAACGTTGTGATAAATATGGCAACAAAATGAGGTCAATAGTCCGAATAATGTAAATAGTGTACAATATACTTCATCTCAGAAATATAGACAGATACTGAAAGACCGAAATGTTGTAATAAATATGGCGACAACAATGAGGACAATAGTCCGAATAATGTAAGTAGTGTACATAATACCTCATTTCAGAAATATCGACAAATACTGAAGAAAGTCGGAGCGTACAACGGCCGAAACGTTGTAATAAATATGGCGACAAAGATGAGGACAATAGTTCGGATAATGTAAATAGTGTACATAATACCGCATCTCGGAAATATAGACAGAAACTGAAAGGCCGAAACGTTGTAATAAATATGGCGACAAAGATGAGGGCAATAGTTCGGATAATGTAAATAGTGTACATAATACCTCATCTCACAAATATAGACAGATACTGAAGAAGGCCGGGGCGTACAATGGCCGAAACGTTTTAATAAATATGGTGACAAAGATGAGGAAAATAGTCCGAATAATGTCAATAGTGTACATAATACCTCATCTCAGAAATATAGACAAATACTGAAAGGCCGAAACATTGTGATAAATATGGCAACAAAGATGAGGACAATAGTCCGAATAATGTAAATAGTGTACATAATACCTCATCTCAGAAATATAGACAGATTCTGAAAGGCCGAAACGTTGTGATAAATATGGCAACAAAATGAGGTCAATAGTCCGAATAATGTAAATAGTGTACAATATACCTCATCTCAGAAATATAGACAGATACTGAAAGGCCGAAACGTTGTAATAAATATGGCGACAAAGATGAGGACAATAGTCCGAATAATGTAAATATTGTACTTTCGGATTTCAGTGTCATATTTTCTCTCATTTTTTAAAACCCTTCCCAGATATTAGAAATTCTGTGCTCTTTTTATTTTGATATTTCGTAATATGTCGCTCGTATGTTAGACTCTCTTTCTTGCTGATTACAATACATTCTGTTTTTCTACAATTGGTGTTTATTCCTTTATTCTCGCCTTTCTTTGCTATCGTGTCTACGAGTTCTTCCATTGTTTTTTTCTGCGATTGCCTTCAACACATTCCCATCTGTGTATTTTATATTGTCAGCATCTTGCTGACTGATCCTTAGGATAGCCTTCTTTCATTCTTCTTGCTGCTTCTTTCCGTATTCTTGACGACACACACACACACACACACACACATACACACACACGCACGCACACCGCAAGAATCATAGAATTAGATATCGCGCAGGCCTTCGACAAGTTGCTTTGCTATACATGCTCTCCAGTTGTGGAATCTCTGAAGGGGTTTTCTCTATTATAAAACCTTTCACTCTTGAAATTGTTAGATGCAACCGTAAGTCCTATGCTAACAGTTTCTTCTCATACACATTTTGGAACTCTCTTCCGGCTTTCTGAACACTAATTCTCAAAAATGTAAATGGAGTGTCAATTGTTATTTTCTATCTCCTTGAATCCTGTTCTTTTGGAAGGCAAAAATAGATCTCTATGATGACTAAAAGGCAACAGTTTCGTTGTAGAGGCGTCAAACCTCACAAGCCATTTGTTGCCTCAGTTAACAACAGACTTAGGATCAATTTCACCAATTTGACTTTATCGTGCTTGTCGAACTTACTATTAAGACATGAGTAAACATCAGCATAGATACCGAATCCAGAGTTAATGACATCAGGATGGTCGTTGATGGTCATGAGAAACATGTCAGGTTCAAGGATAGAACCCAGAGGGATACCTACATTAATACAAAAATGTGTAGAAGAATGGCCGTTCAATACGATTTTCATTAAGCGATTTGTTTAGAAAGATTGAATCAAATCAAGAAATTCGGTTAGTGACACCAAAGAAATACAGCGTGTGAAGAAAATCCGCATGCCAATCAATGTCAAACGCCTTCATGATATTTAAAAGCACAGTCGGAGCTTGACACTTCTCAGTATTAAACGTTAACACATGAGCCGTTGACCTAAAAAAGCGAAAGCCATTTTTACTTCTCTGAAAGCAGATCATGCAAAGTAAGATTTATTAACGCAATTTGTTTAGAGCCTAAAGGAAATTGCTGAAGGCTATTACATCAATAGTTGGAAAAATCAGACGATTTACCAGAGTCCTTAGAAACAGGAACTACAGACGAGAATTTCCAACAAACCGGAAACCAAGAAGCAGCAAGACATTTGTTGTATAGTTTAGAGAAAACAGGAGTCAGTACAGAAACACATTTCTTTAGGGCAAATATATGACGGATTATTGATAGCATTAGAAAATAAATCTGCTGATGATTTGAGCATATATAGTAACGCATTTAACCAGAAGATTTCTTACTACGCTTCCTTCTTTCCATTTCTTTTCTTCCTCATCCTCTTCCTCTTTCTACTCTTTTCTGTTTCCTTCTCTCCTTTCTTCTTTGCATTTCTTTTCCTTTTCTTACCCCTCCTACATTTTTGTCTTCTCCTCCTCCTTTTGATCTCCTTCTTTCTTTCCGTTTCTTCTCTTTCTTTACCTTCTCCTTCTGCTACCACCTGTCTTTCTTTGCTTATTACTTTCTCTTCTTGATTGCTTTTCTTTTTCTCTTTTTCTTTTTTTTTCTTCTTTCTCCTGCACTTTTTGTCTTTGTTTCCTTTACACTCTCGCCCTCTCTTTTTTCTTTTATTCTTGGCTGTCCCTTTTTAATCTTCTTCTTCTTCTTCTTCTTCTTCTTCTTCTTCTTCTCTTTTCTGTCATCATTATCTGATTGTGCCTTTGATACAATGCTTGTCGCCATGTTTGCTTTGTTCATCATCGGCTTTCATTTTTATTCTTTCCTTTTTCCCATTCAACTTATTTTACATTCTTTCTATTCTAAATAGTAACATACTTTCTTCCGATTTTTTGAAATCTTGTGCATCTATTTTATTTATTTTCAGCCGATGTATTCTTCAGCCTTCTCTTTTACTACTTATCATTTTCCTGTACTTATAGATCAAGTTGTCTCAAGTTTCGTTTTTTTTTTGTTTCTTTTTTTTTTGTTTTAAAGTCAATTTCTTAAACATATCTAAAGATTATCTAGGACTGCATTGTTAAGATTATTATTGGTAGTAGAATTAAATATTAGTATGGCAGATGCTAACCTCCAAAACATTAACTCACCGCGCTTTCTCAAGCTAATATTTTCCGCGGATATGAAATGGAACGATTTTATTGAATCAATCGCTAAGTCTGTTCTGCTGGTGGTGGTGGTGGTGGTGGTGGTGGTGGTGGGAAAGATGGTTCACTATACCTTGTATATTTATAAGTTTACCAATCAAGCCTGCATTGAATATTGCTGTCACATCTGGTCTGGTGCTTCTGCTGTATATCTTGTGATTCTTGACAAAATACAAAGAATAATCAGTCATAATATCGTCTCTCATCTGGCATCTCGGTTTCAATCGTTTTGATGGGTAGTAGTGGCAGTATAGTATCAGTCGGTTAAGTACAATACGTTATTCATGTAGATTTTTCCGCAGTAGGTTGCAGTTTGTGTTTTGTTTTTGTTTTTTGGTGGGGGTGTCTTTAGAATGATTTCCAAGGATCCACTCAGTCCTACTATCCAATCCATAGTTTAACGTGTGGGGTTTAGACAAAAATGGATTCATACCTTTCTTGAAGAGGGTATCTGAGTGTAAGTGAATGTAACGAACCCGTCTGAAGTTCGAACTCTAACCTCCGATTTCTCATTCGAGGCCATTAGCCATTACGCCACAATGCACATCCTAGCACAGTATTATCTAAAACTCTACTGTAGTTTTCCTTTCAGATCCTATAACGGCAGATACATGTATATGGATTCAGGCAATTTCAGAACATTATTTCAAACTGGACCCCAAAGCTACTGAATAAACTAAAAGGTAATTAAATAATATTCGACCGTATCGCTCATTATTGTTTTAAACAGTGTCACGATGGTAATTTTCCTTTTAAAATGAACAATCACCAAATAAGAGAACCTGCCTACTAGCACCCGAAAAGGCTGAATCATTGACAGGTCCAGTACAGAAACATTCAAACCTCATCAAGAGTACGACAAGGAGCACATGAGGGCCCCCAGTTGATTTAATTTTATGCCCTACACATTTAAAAACACTGATGTGAATAGATGGACACTGATCATTTAAGAAGTTCATACTACATCCAAAAAGAGTCTTCCAATAGAAGATGATGACCCTGCTTCCCCTCCCGAGGCCAATCTACTGACGATGATGAGGGAGGGGGGAATACACCTTTGACATAGGTATTTACAGGTGGGATAAGAATGATTTTCAATAGAAAAACAAACATTTTCTACTAAATGTTCCAATTAGTAGGACTAAAAATAAACTTTCCAAAAACAGAAACGATGATCTGGAACATCGATCTCGACGTATGTTCTTAAATAACCGCCAGAAATCGATAATTTCATATGGATATAATGCTTGGCTCCAAACCCGTTCAAAAACGTTTAAAATGTCAGCTATATACAACCGGTTTCTAAGATCAATGGTTAAAATGGCGTTGAGTGAGTGAAGCCTGATAATTTTGATGAAGCCCATACTGTTTCATTCCTCGCTTTGTTATCTTCCTTGTTGGTCGATTGACTTGAGGCGATCATAACAAAGATGTCTTCCTCTCTTTTTTCTCTCTCGCTCTCTTTTCTTCCGGCCGGGTGATTGCTACTTGGCTTGTTCGGAGGTAAAAGAAGAACATCAACAAAAGAGATTTTAATCTTATCTATTTTATTAAACACGTCGATGTTTACATTTTTTAACTAGCCAGTGGGGTCGCTCTATCACCCGCACTGGGGAGTAAGTCTCCGCACACGAAATTAACACGTCTGCATTCTTCGACGTGTAAAACTTAACTCCACGAAATAACTTTCTATCTCTCTAACATTCCCACGTTGGGCTCAGCTAATCAGAATCGAGATCCTTATTTTGTTTACCAGCTGAACCTGACATCAGCTTTAGATGGTCAGCCAAATACACTGTCATTAAAAAAATAATAGTCTGAAGTCTTATATTTAACAATACTTCTTCGAACGTTGTTGATTCCCGCTACAGAATCACAAAGAAAAATCTATGCCAAGTAACAGAAACTAAATCACGAATTTAACCTCTCGGTTCTATGCTTTTGAGCTAACTTTAATCTGCAAAATGTCAACCGCTATCTGCTCTCCTTCTGGTTCATCGTCTTTTGTTCTCGCTCCTTAACAATGTTTCTGCGTCTAACTCTTCCATATCTAGTAACCCCTTGTGTCTCAGTGGCTTTATTGCCTTGCATAGAGCGAACTCGATTAAAAAAAAACATAAAATACAGACATTTCCCACTTACCAACTGGACTCCCTTCCAGCGATATGGATGCTAAAGGAACTGGTCAGTATGTAAGAAGTTATACTTGACCGCTATTTCAAGAATTCTATAAGAGAAATGGAATTGTTCACTGAAATCTAAACGCGCATTTGAATAGCAAAAGATGCCTTTCAAAAGCTAAGCAGAGTACTAAGAAACATGACAGAAAAGAAAAAAGTGCTGATTATATAATCTCCACCCTTCTGTATGGCAATGCAGGGTCGGTGCAAGGGTCTCGTGGCCACCAAACAACCACCCACGCACCAATCTATGATGCCGGGTCCCCCATTCTACTAGATCTCAGTTTTCCTATTTTTGCGAAATTCCGGTATAAAATTGTAAGTGCTACCAAGTGCATAAATGGAACATGGTTCTTAGTTGTGTAGTTTTGAGACAAAGTTTTTCATTTCTTACCATTTAGTGTCAAATTAGCTTCAGATCAAAGAGAAAAGCGGACGGCTAGCAAGGCACAGAAAACTAATGTAGCGTTTAATTCGTTGTAAAAAAAAAATCACAGATTTGAACGAAAGAAAAAAAAGGCTTCAGAATGACGTCAAAATCCGCGAAAATTTTTCATAATTTAATAATCCGTTGGGCTTAGTTTAACTTGTAACGTATCTAAATGTAGGTAAAAAAAATATTGATAAGATAGTATGTGTTACAAATCATTTCTCAGGGCCTCGATCATGCTCCCCCCCAACTCGATCGGGGATTCAGGGCTTATTACTGCGTCAGCCCTGTGGCAGTGAATGCTGAATAATTTTCTCAACAATTTACTCAGATGGAGTAAAAACTGTAGACAACAGTGATTTAGTTCTACAGAAGGATACTTAGAATGGACGAAGAAGTCTTTAAAAATTGGATACAAACGGCCATTTTATACTCTGAATCATGGTTTGGAGAACTTGACATTCACAAGACATACCGAAGACAAATGAATCTGAGAAAGCAGCAAGACACCTACCAGACGAGCTTGTGTGCATTGATAACAGATCGGAGGTTGAGAGGCTTGGCAAGAGAACAAAAATTGTTAAGAGCTACAGAGAGTTTGTGGAGAGCCATAACCACCCTAAAGATCACGCCAGATGGAAAATAAAAACGCAGTGAGATAAAAGATGAAATAAAATGAAAACTGATAATAAAATATTGAAAATTGATAAAATGAAACTGGTAAAAAAGATATACAATGAAACTGATAATAAAATTAAAATAAAGTTCTTTTAGTATCCTACAATCATCAACAGTCTAAAAAGATATAAGTAAAACTTCATGACCACACCTATTTCCCAGTATCTAAGCAAATGACCACGTATCAAAATTTTCTGTTTTCTTTTTTTGAAGAGCTTTGATCGCGCCAAGAAAGTTTCATCACCGCATCATCCATATTAAACAAACCTCCATAGAAAGAAAAATAAAGATGGTTGTTTAGCGAGACCTGACGACATGATAGCAAGTTTTTGTCTGAGATTTTGAAATGAGTTCTTGTAAATTATTCAAAGATCTTTCAATTTTTTTTACATTTTAGTCAATCCATTATCTAGCCGTCCTGAAATTCGCATAAGAAGAAAGGCTAATACCCTTACCAAAATGCTGTGAAAAGCAACGAAAACAGAATACAGAGTATTACCGAATGTACCATAGCTATTCTCTGCTTTTCTAACTTCATACTCGGTAGCCAACGAAAAACAAACTTTAATAATGAAAAAGAAATATCCTAAAATTATTTTAAGCTTCAATTCTAGGTTTGTTATGCTAAAGTAAAATCATTCTACACCTTTTAGGCTATGCGAGCAGGGCAATGGTTATCAGCGTGTACAGTAGAATCTGCGACCACAGCCTACAATCACAATATAACCAAAGGTCTAAATAAAATAAAATTCAAGAAGGAAAACAAAGAAAGAAAGAAAAACAGAAAAAGAAAGGGATGGAGAGAAAGGAAAATAAACAGTCAAAAAGAAAAACAGAGAAAGAGGGAAAAAAGAAAGAAAGAAAGAAAGAAAAACAGAGAAAGAAAGAAAGCAAATAATTTTTTGAAAGGAAGGACAAAGGATAAAATTGGAAGAAAAAAGGAGATAGAGAAAAGGAAGAAACTAAAGAAATAAGGAAAATCGAAAAAGAAGCAACAAAGAAAAAGGAAAGGAAACAAAATGGAAGGAAAAAAGAAAGAAAAGAAAACAGAAAGAATGAAAAAAACACAGAAATAAAAGCAAGCATAAAAGAAAATAAGACAAAAGAAAGGAAAACAGTGAAAGAAGGAAAAAAGAAAAAAAAGGAAAATAAAGAAAGAAGAGAAAACAGAAAGAAAGAAAGAAAGAAAAAGAAAGAAAGAAACCAAAGAAGGAAGAAACAGCAGAGAAAGGAATGAAGCAGAAAAAAAGTAAGAGGAAGAAAGAAAGAAAGAAAGAAAGAAATCTAAAGAAACAGAAAGAAAGCAACCAAAGGAATGAAGATAGGAAAAAAGAAAAAGAAAGAAAGAAAGGAAAGAAAAGAAAAAAGAAAGAAA